GGAACGTGTTTCTCCACTTCGACTGGGTACGGTTGAGCTATCTCCTTGATTATAGTTTTAGATAGAAGTTTACCTTCTTCATGCTGAAAACCATGACCACTGGTCTCATATTCGGAACCGTATCCATAGCCGGTACCAAAAATCCCTCTCTTCTCCTGGTTTTTACTGTCTTCGGATACTGGTTTATTTTCTACTGGTTTTTTAGCTTCTTCGGAACCCAATGTGTAGGCACACAGTCCGATAACGCAAACTGTATATATATATCCCTTCATTTTTATTCGAGTTGTATACAACGTTCGACTGATATATTTTTCTCGGAGTGCGTCAGTATTTGTAGTCACTGTTGTTCTCCCTCTAATATTCACCTGGTCTAGTTTCCACGGTCTACTGTTTTTATCATAGCATTCATTTTGCCATATTTCGTAATATGTTTGAGGAAATAAAAAATACGTCTTCTTCATGAAAAGAGTCTGAATGTTATTATTTTTTTTCTATTGATTATGTACTAACTAGTGCATTACGATTTTGATTAATATCATTTCGACTTATAAAGTCTTTAGAAATCAAATTTTTTTTTAAAGTTGCTATTAAATTAGTAATACTTTTCCAATGGTTTTACCGATTTGCAGTTAGGTAACACAGCCCAACTTATATTTACAGGATAACTATTTTTTGAGTTTATACTAAAAGTATTCCTTCGCATGTACAGTACATCAGATATATTAGACTTGATTATATATTCATTTATAGTTAAACAATATCGTTCTAGGAAATTATTTTTTAGTAATCTATTGTTAAAATTGTATTTTACCTGTACCTGCACAATATACAAGTTCCATATAGTCAGTCCTGCTCAGAGATATTTTTTGGTTCTGAGTAGAATCATGCAAGGGTGCCTTTTTAACTAAATTTTGATTCGAGGTATTAAATCTTAATACATACTTTTCACAATAATGTGCTGATAGTATTTATAATCCATAGTCTGTAGTTTTTAAACTTACCTAAGGTGGCTTCCCATAAATAATAATAAGTTGTACACAATAAATTATATTAATCTTATATATTACGATTATCTATAATTAGTACTCAAAATCGTTATAATCTTAAGTTTTTTTAATAAAAAAAGTCATTGTAGTTCATAATACTCCGTCCATTAATATTATTACAGTATACTGTTATTTTCATTTATCATTAATACAGTTATTAAGTCGTCGTTTCAACTTTAATTTGTATTTCATAACAGATTGGGAATTTTAAATTAAATATGGTTAAACAATTTTTTTTACATGGATGCATGGGGCTTCATGATTATTTGTTCTCAAGAAAACGTGGGTCAATTTTTACCGTGCTTGCCACGTTCATATATGGACATGATGTGGTGAGCAACCTGATGGTCGCGACCCTAAAGAGGTTTCGACATTTTAATAGGAAATCAACAATAATTTTATATTAAATTATAAAGTGATATTACATACGTAACGTGGTAGGAAGGGGGTAGCGTCATCGAAATAAATAAATTAAACTGATTTACAAAGTTTTGCCATGACGCCAAAAATATTTTAGATTCAGATTCTAGATTTTTTTTTACATAATATGTATCTTTATTTAATAGTAAAATGAAAGATCATTCGTATAACAATAAAAGAAATCTAAAAGTGGCACTTAAAAATATAGAAAAAAACCAAAAAATCTACAAAAAAAGACAGATAGTTGTTTTAAAATTAAAGATATGTTTCAAAAATCGTTTATTATAATAAATGCTTTAAATGAAAATAGTAATGAGGATTTGCCAATGCTTATAGAAATAGATAATAACCAAAATATTCTTAAAACTAATAAAATAGATATTTTAAATAAACTAAGCAAAATAAATGTGAAAGCTTTTAGAATTATAAAGACTATAAAAATGGGTTCTCAAAGTTTATATGTCGATGACAAAATATACCTATAGTATACTATAGTTTCCGATGACATTAGTAATATTACAACCAAAATTGACTTTTATGAAAAACCTTTTAAGGAATTAATTCACCAATTTTTAAATTATTACCCTTGTCAACCTAATGACATTGATTACAATATGGATAAAATATGTTTACAAACGAGAAAATGGATAAGTAGAAGTCTTGATCGAAAATCATTTTTTTGTCGGATTTGTAGAAGATTTCGGTAAAAAGATGATCAAAGTATTTTCTTAACTGATTATAGTGGTGGAACTAAGCATTTTTATTACGGATTTAAAGAACATGAAATGAGCAAAACCCATACTAATAATTTATAATCATTTTTGATGTTTGACAGTAATAAAGATATCACAAGTTATTTCAAGTAAACCAAAAGAAATAAAACTCAGAGAAATACAAAATAATAGAAATATTTTGGAAAATCTTATGGAAACAATCAAAGTTATAGGCAAGAGAGATCTTAGTTACCATAGTGCTAATGAAGCAGCGTATGCTTTAAATAATGATACATTAGATCTTTGACATTTACTCAAAAAATGAGTGTTAATTTCAAAATTTGTATACAGTAAATATGCATAATACAATATTTAACTCAGTTATTCAACTCATTGTAGAACGATTTGAAAAACACAAACAGTTATATGCTGACTTCAATTGTTTAGATCCAAAAATTTTTTGTAATGATAAATCCAGAATATTCATTAAAAATTATCGATTTTGAAGATTGTACCATTTATGCCAGATTTGTCTCAAGGATAGTTTTGTCAAGAGTATAATGAATTTTTTTCCAAGTAGCCGTCTTCGTATCAAGTAATACAATGATAACGTGACGTCGTGTTGTCAAAATCATGGTCTATTTTTATATTTTTGAAATATTTTCGATTTTGAATTATTTTGTATTAGCCATAGATAATAATGATATGGATAGAATATCCATACTTCAACATTATTCCAAGAGGGACGGGTACAGTTATTTTAAGGTTCATTCAGTGAGGCGTTTTATCTATGAAGTGATGACCAATAAATCGCCTCAATTTTCAGTCCCTCCCGGAACATCGCTTAACATACAATTGTTATAGGAGTGGCTCACCCATTTCTTTATTAGCAATGGTTTTGTCGACTTAAACCTTATTTGTTACCTGAAACCTAGTTATTAATTACCTCTTTAAATGTATAATATATGTATTGTATACATAGTATATACTTACCTATTGTGTTTTACATAGGTGCAAGTATATAATTGTAAATTTGTGATTCCACATAGGTAGGTATATAAATATGTAGGTACATATTTTGTGTATTGTTTACTTATTATATATTTACGTTAAAGAGTTATATTGTTTTACAGAATCAAGTAGACCAACACGAAAAAAAACGAAATATAGAGCATCCAAACTTACATTTATAAATTCGTAAAATTTTTTTTATATGATATATTAATTGGATATACCTACATAATAGTTTTTAATAATATTTGTTTTTAATTTTAATTAAGAAATAATGCATTTTTATATTGTTGTATAATATAAATTATGGTGATAGTTTGGAGTAAAACAGTAATGTGTAGCAATATATACCTGTGATATAATATTATAGAGTAGTGGGTACATTAAATTATATAAAAGTTTTTTTAATCTGCCCTTAGGGAGGTGTGAAACGCAGCTTCCCGTGGGAAAGATTTAATTCAATCATAACAAGGGACACAACTTTATTTTGAGCCTCATAGTATCACTTCTTTTATTTTTCCAATTCAAGCACTGCTATTAAACAAATTGAATAAATACGTTAATATGTATTTGATTAATTTCATTTGATGTTTAAATATAATAAACATAACATATGCTATAGATATTTCCACATTACATGATGCAATAAGATAAAATTATGTAAATTTATTTAGATATAAATTAAACATGATTGAAATAACTATTTTCGTCTTTAGTTTTAATTAAAAACTTAGTATGTCCCAACATGTAACATACTTAAATAAAGACATCAAGTAAAAATTTTTGATTTATAACATCCCTGTTTTTTTAAAATGTGAGAAAGAAAAAAATTATTTATACAAATTGATAAAAACGAATGAAACATATATAAAATATAGAATACATTTATTTTGTATCATTTATCACAATATTTAAGAGTAACGTATTAAACATTGTTAGTAAAATTGAACTTTTCAGAAACTTAAAAAAAAATAAAATAAAATTTTGTTATATCATGACTAGAAAAAAATTATATTTTTAATAATAACAGCTGTGATAATTAAAGGGCATGGATTACTTTCTTAATATTGGGACTATTCAATAAATTTTCTTCCATGTATCAATAGTATCATCTTTCATAGTTTTCATAAGTAATTAATAACCCTGACTATTATGTTCACCGTATGCGTGTTCTTCAGGTTGGTGGTGTTCTTCAGGTTGGTGGTGTTCTTCATAGGGTACTGGAACTTCGACTTTCACTGGAAATTTTACTGGGTATGGCACCGGCTTTTCGACAGTGTAAGGTACAGGTTTCTCGACTGGATAAGGTACGTGTTTCTCGACGGTCACGGGGTAAGGACGGTCGACTGGAACTTTGACCGGGTAAGGCACTCGCTTCTCGACTGGGTAAGGAACGTGTTTCTCGACTGGAACGTGAACGGTGTATGGTCTGTCCACTGGAACTTTGACTGGGTAAGGTACGTGTTTGGTGACTTCGTACGGAACGCGCTTTTCCACGTATACGTTGTAAGGTTTCGGCACGTGAACTGTGTACGGTTTGTCGACTGGGACCTTTACTTCATACGGAACGTGTTTGTAGACGGTNTGGATACGGTTTCGGTACGTGCACCGGGTACGGCCTGTCTACGGGAACGTGGACCTTTACAGGGTATGGAACGTGTTTCTCCACTTTGACTGGGTACGGTTGAGCTATCTCCTTGATTATAGTTTTAGATAGAAGTTTACCTTCTTCGTGCTGAAAACCATGATCACTGGTCTCATATTCGGAACCGTAACCATAGCCGGTGTCGAAAATTCCTCTCTTGTCCTGGTTTTTGCTATCTTCGGATACTGGCTTATTTTCTACTGGTTTTTTAGTTTCTTCGGAACCCAATGCATAGGCGCACAGTCCGATAACGCAAACTAAATATAGTTGTCCCTTCATTGTTATTGAGTTGAATGAAATGATCGACTGATGTCTGCTTATCCAAATACTTCGTTATTTGTAGTAGCTCGAGTCTACTATGAATAAGTGTACTATGACGTTCCCTCCTAGAATCCAACTAATTTACTTTCTACGGTCAACTGACTTTAATTCTACATTGTTTTGTCATATTTCGTAATATGTTTTATTGTACCGTGATACAATCACTAGTGCTCTCTAACATGTTTTGTTCTATTGATTCCATTTTAATTATTACATAAATACAATTTTAAAACGTAATAATAATAATAATTAATAGTTTTATTATATGTCTATTAAAACTTTTATCGTTTTGTTTGTATAGCGCT